CAGTGGGGCCGCGCCAAAAGTCACTCTGGCGAAGGGTAGCTCCTGCGGACAGTCGACGTAGGAGACATCGCGCGTGCCTGGGTCACGACAGGTGACTTCCATGGCGCGCATCATCCTGGCGATCCGGCGGGCCGGCATCGCGGAATCCGAAAAAAGTGTTCGCACCGAAGGCGAGGATCGTCACTGGTCAATGCCAATTGGAAAATATGCACCTTCAGGTCGGGGACTGGTTCCACGATCAACAGGTCGGTCTGCCGCACCTGCCAAGTGATTGCCCTCACGCACGGTACCAAAACTGCGAGTCGCACCGTCGCTCCGAATGCGGGGCATGTTGGCACACATGTAGATACGCAACCCGCTCACCGTCGCCAATCGCCTCGTCCGGGTTCTCGAGCTCTCCTGCCAGAATCGCGGCATCCCAGGGCGTGGGCGTAGGCGCGAACGGTGCTGGTGCTGGTGTACCTGCTGTCGAGCATGATGTCGGCGAAGCCCGTGCTAAAGCCATGGCTTCCCTGCGGGTCACCAGCGCAATCCGCAGGGCAACCACGTGCGAGCCCGTGTAGACCAGAAAGGTCGCCTGGCTGTCCTCTGCTGCCGAAGGGGCGGCCTTTACAACAGCCCCAATCTACACCGAGTCTCCTGATAAGCGTGCAGGGGGCGTCACCCCCGCCGACAGCCCCACATCGAACCCCGTCGCGGGCAGCCACCGCGCGCCCAAGGCGCTCTGACCCCCGTCGCGGCGCGACGACGAGGCGAGGTTGACCCCCGTCGGGGGGGTATCCCCCCACGCTTATCAAGAAATCCAGAGTAGACAATGCTTCGGCAAGGTAGCTGTCATCAACTCCCTAGCTTCTTGTGCCCCTGCGGCCGCGACGCGCGAAGCGCGGTGACCTTCGCGCCCCAGGGGGTAACCTACCAAGACTCGTCATGACGGTTTTTGTGTTCGGCGCTTGCGCGGTCGGCGCTGCTTCAGTGCTGGCATGAGGCGTTTGGCCCCGCACGCAGGGGTGTCCTAAATCCGGCAGCGCCCTCGCAGCATTGAAGAACGTGTTTTCTGACAAGCGCCCGGCCTATCGAGCGCTTCGACCTTGAACGGCGCCTCGGTCTATGTTTGACGAGGCCTGTAGGTTGAGGTCGGGCATGTCCCCCTACAGGCGGATTTTGGGCGAAAAATTAAAAACAGTCAAAGCATGCTCCAAACATAGCCGAAGATGCTCAAAAAGTCGTACCCAAACTATTTGTTTGACTGTTTTTGACTACGTACTCCTCCTGTGGAGGGACACGCCCGACTTAACTGTAGGTCACCCTCCCGACGATCGGGCTGTGCGAAAGGGGGGGATAGCAAAGAGGGGTTTGAGAATCAGCTCACGTAGCTGATTTTCCCGGCGCCTCCCAGCGCCAGGAGGCGGCCATGTATCGAAGAATGGGCCCTGGCGGCGGGGCCGAAACCAGCTGCATGCAGCAGATTTCGTAACCCCCCCTTTCCCTATCCCCCCCTCTCGTCCGGCCCGAGACGAGGAGCCCGGGGCGCACGGGCACTCGGGAGAGCCCCGACTTAACTGGAAGAGAAGGACGAGGCAGAGGAGTAGGAGGAGGAGGAGGAGGAGGAGGAGGAGGAGGAGGAGGTCTTCCTCCCGACGAGGAGGAGGAAGAGGAGGGGGAGGAGGAAGAGGAGGAAGAGGAGGAGGAGGAGGAGGAGGGAGGAGGGGGAGGAGGGGGAGGAGGACGAAGAGGAGGTCATCCTCCCGACGAGGAGGAGCCTGGGGCGCACGGGCACTCGGGAGAGCCCCCCGCCCCCCGCCCCTGGCAGGAGGCGGCCTTCGGGGCCGCGCACGCCCCCCCGCGGCCGAGGCTGCTCGGGGGCGGCGGCGGCGGCAGCCACGCCACTGAGGGGGGCGCCTGGGCCGAGTCGTCGTCGTCGTCGTCGTCGTCGCCGTCGTCGTCGTCGTCATCGTCGTCGTCGTCGTCGGAGGAGGAGGAGGAGGAGGAGGAGGAGGAGGAGGAGGAAGAGGGGGGCGGGACAGCGGGACCGACGACGACGAGGGCTTGGATGGCGACGGTGACGAAGGGGGAGTGAGGGTGAGGGAGCGAGGGGCAGGGTGGGCCAAGGAGGGAGGGGGAGGGGAAGGGGGAGGGGATCGAACGTTTATACAGATCCAGGTCATCTTCCCCCTCCCTCCCCCTCCCCCTCTGACCGAATGTCTCCTCCTTTTCTGGCGGAGGCGAGACGGGGGGAGGGGCCAGCCGATAACCAGACCTTCGCGCTGTGGGCCTCCGCGCCGGCCCCTACGGCTACTAACGATGATGCGACGATGCTACTAGTCGTGCTGCGACGATGCTGGCGCCTTCTGGGAATGCCGAAAGATGTGTCCGGGGGAGGTTATCCGAGGGGGGGGGGCGAGCCCGAAAACCCGGATTACCAACGGACCCAACAAAAACAGTCTCTTGTCCTCCTCCGAAAGAGGGCGGGACCAGCGGGGCTGACGACGACGAGGGCAGGGATGGCGACCGTAACGTATGGGGGGACAGCTGCGCAGTTGGCAACACCAACACGGAGGCGAACTGATGCGAAGTCCCGTTTCGATCTGGATAGGACCACGCTTCCACTGTACCAGGCTCCCCGCAAGCTCGCGCAAAACGGCCGAAATTTGCGCAGTTGACAATAATCGGCAGCACCAATGGAGGCGAGGTAGGAAGTACAGTCGGACCTGGGCCATAAGAACATCCTTCAAGAGCATGAGACTCTCAGTCGGCCAAAACAAACAGAACATCCAAAAGTACCCTCCCCAGGATGCACAAGAGCATCCAACGAACACGAAGAACACTAGGGCACCCTCCCCGGACCGACCTCGATGTTATGCCTCGATCTGACTGCAGGGGTAAGATCCAGGAGGCAGAGGGAGGGGAAGTAGCGGGGAGAGGCGCGACGGGAAAAGGGGGAGCAGCAGCGCTCGATTCAAACCGACAACCCAACACGCCTCCTCCTCCCCCTCCTCCTTCTCCTCCTCCCCCTCCCCCTCCCCCTCCCCCTTTCCCCCCCCTCCCCTCCCCCCTCCCCTCCCCCTCCTCCTCCTCCTCCTCCTCCTCCTCCTCCTCCTCCTCCTCCTCCTGCTCCTCTTTCTCCTCCTCCACCTCGCTCCTCTTTCTCCTCCTCCATCTCCTCCTCCTCCTCGAGGGTGAGAAAACCTGCAACCTCGAAGCTCCCCTCCCGGCTTTCACTCCGTCGCCTGTCTGCGCCGCTGATCCCCCCCCCGCTCCTCCCTCAGCATCTCCTCACCGTGCGGGGCGTACGAGTGCCGGAGATCGCCCCTCTGCCAGAAGTGGAGGGGCCAAGAACGGGAGCAGGTGGAGGAGTGAGGATAGGGGATAGGAGGTGGAGGCTAGGGTATGGGGATGTGAGAAGGGAATGGGAGGAGGTGGAGGGGATGGGAGGGGCTGGTGAGGATAGTGGATGGGGGGAGGTGGAGGAAATGAGGCAAGGGGTCGGGCGAGACATGAGGGAGGGATGGGGATGGAGAGAGGTGAAGTGTATGAGGCGGAAGGGCTCCGTACGACGACCACATGTTGCATCATTTTGGGCTGAACAGTACGCCCGTCTTGCCTGGTTGCCAGGCGGGATCCCGCTCCCCTGTTGCGTTCGTCTGGCCCGTGATAAATCCCATCTGCAAGTTAGAAGGTGTCCACAAATCCTGGGCGCAATGCAATCCCGCATTGTGATTGCGTCTTGCGTTGTCTTCGGGTCATCTTGAGAGCGTTTTCTTGCGCGTTTGCAAGGAAACCTTTGCTGCGGTTAAGAAAGAGGCCTCCTTTCCACGGCCTGGACACGGTGGCGGGATAAACCGAAGGCCACTGGACACTCTTGAGTGCAGGAACATGAACTGACGATCGACATACCATGTGCCAACACCGACGCATGACTAGACAGACTGTCAGTCTGCCCAAAGTAGAACTATGCAAGCAAGTGCGCTGGTCAAGGATTCTGGTATGCTCTGGTGGATGGCGCTGTCGAAAACTTCTTTGAAACCTACTGCCGCAATCAGTGTATACGCGCAGCTATAATTCGATATGATTCGTTGTCGTCGTCCGAAGGGAGGAGCTGCAGGGGATTGCAACCAGTGGCGGCAGAAGTTAACGGCCGAAGAGCGGTATAACATGACATGCTCCGCGATCTGGGGAGCCTGTCCCAAGGCGGAGAGTTTGTACTCCCACCTGCCAGCGGTGTACAGTATGAGATCGGCCACAAGAAACCTTCCACAAGAAACCCAACCCCGAGACCCCCAGGACGTCCATTTATTTTTGGTGTGGGAACGTAAGCCTGTCCATAGCCAAACCATCGAAACTCAACAAACCTAGGGCACCCTGGAGGCGAGCAGTGTGTTTCTTGGCATGGGTCCCCGCTGTACTCCCACCTGCCAGGGGTGCAAACTTCCCACCCGCCCTGGGACAGGCGTCCCCGATGGTGGGACAGTCCATTCCACGCTTCTCTTCTAGAGGCCTCCCCCAACAAAGGGGGTCAGAGTAGACGGGGTCGGAGGATCGCGCCGCATCGTCGACGAATCGCCGCGGATAAGTTTATTCCACACTGCTCTTCTATCGAGGCCTCCCAGATGGGGTCGTAGGATCGCGCCGCATCGTCGATGCATCGCCGACGCATCGGCGATGCGGCGCGGCTCCCCGACCCCCTTTGCCCCGACCCCATCTGGGAGAGGCCCAGATCTTCGCCCGCCGAGAGAGAGATCGGACTCCCCCCTCGGGGGCGGCCACGAGGGGGACGTCCACGTGGGGGGGGCAAACCTGGGGAAACATCATGGCCCACGCCATGATAGCCCCACCCCCCCCCCAGTCATCACCCCCCTCTTGGCCGCCCCCGACCCCCCCCCCCGCCCGGCCGCCTGCCGGGCAACGCGAAGCGCGGGAGGCGCGGGCGACCTGTGGCCGGCCAGGAGCTCGGGGGCTGGCGCAGGAGGGACGTGCAGGGCCGAGGAGCGCTCCACTCAGGAGCCCCGCCGCCTTCTGTGACGGCCTGCCCCCTCTCACGTTCCCCCCCCGGGCACGCCGCCGAAGAACACCCAGGATCCTCGCGGGCGGGAAACGCATTCATGTCCACGGCCTCGCGGTCTGGATTCCTGGGACGCGACCACATAGATGCAGGGCTGCTCTGCGCGAGTGCCCCACGCGGAACGCAACCATGGGATCGCGTATCCATGGAACCGCGCCTCGGTATCTAGTCCAGCGAGGAATGAGTATGCACACTTTCGTCGCTCGTGCATCCCCGCCAGCCCTCTGGGCGTAATTGTGGAGGGTACGAACTTCGTACGAACTCTCCCAAATCACCCCCTCCTTCCCCTCCGTAAACGACTTATCTCACCCCTCGCCTCCTCCCCGAAGTCTGGACTGGTTCCATGAGTTTGGGCGTCCGAGATGCCTCATGATGGATCAACATAGCCTCATTTTTTCTCCCGAAGAGAGCACTGGAGGCCCCGCAGGTTCCCAAGGCCTCGGACGGCGAACGAAGACTGATCAACTTCGCATCCCGCGGCACGATGCCCATTGCCAACGGCCGAACGGCGGAGGGCACCCAGGCAAGACGAGAAACGAGAGCGTGGCATGATACAAACAAAACTTGGATTTGTATCATAGCGAAGCGCCTGCCAACAAGAAAACCGCCGAGAGACACCTACCACGGTCGACGAAAGGACATGTGTCCGGCGAGCGTGGCCGAAATTCGGGGCGGATATTTGGGCGGCAGCACACCGAAGTCAAAAAACGAGGAGGAGGAGGAGGAAGGACGGAGAGCGCGAGGAGGAGCGGGGAAGTATTAGGCTGCGCGCCAGACATCCCCAGTTAGGCCTAAAAGAGGCAGCGATCCCAAACGCTCGGAAACCCCACCGAGCTGACCTCCCAACAGAGCGGAACTGGTAAACTATCACGTGGACGGAAGGAGGAGAAGCGGCAGCGGCGGCGGCGGCAGAGAGAAAGAGAGAGACAAGGGGAAGGAGAGGGAACGAGCAAACTCACTCAATTGCGTCGTATACTGACAACGACCGGCCATGCGCAACATGCTATCGTGGAGTAAACGTCAAAACGACGTTTTGGTAGGGATCAGCACTCGGCCAAGTGCTGATCCCTACCAAAATGGCCTTTCGAGGTAAATGGTGCGGCCAGAGAGGAGGCGCCTCGGGCCGACTGGCCGGAGAGTTCGAAAAACACTTGTGCGAAACGGAATTAAAACTGTTAAGCCCTACGGCGTTACGGTGGCCAATCGGACGCGCCTCGGGCCGACCGGCCGGAGAGTTCGGGTACGGCTTGGGCGAAAACGGAATTAAAGCTGTTAAGCCCTACGGTGGCCTATCGGACGCGTTTCGGGCCGACCGGCCGGAGAGCTCGGGAAAGGCCTGGGCGAAAACAGAGTTAAAACAGTTAAGCCCTACAGTGGCCTTGTGGAGGCGTCTCGGGCCGACCGGCCGGAGAGTTCGGGAGAGGCCTGGGCGAAAACGGAGTTAAAACTGTTAAGCCCTACGGTGGCCTTTCGGAGGCGCCTCAGGCCGACCGGCCGCAGAGTTCGAAAAAGGCCCGGGCGAAAACGGAATTATAGCCGGAGTGCAATATCCCCAAACAGGATTTTTTATATTCATTGTGGTTTCCAAAAGTCGATTGCGTGCCCGTCCAGTGTGGGCTTGCATGACAAGTTAAAACACGAGAGCATGATGTTTGCACACTTGGATGTTTCACAACAGCTTGTGTGACGCATGCCTCTCACGAAGCCAGCGCTTGAGGGTGTCGTTATGCTTCCCTCTTCCCTCCTCCCTTCTTCGCACCAGTTCGACGAGTAAGTTGTCGGGTCGGCACTGTCAGAAGCCCCACCGCCATGCCGTGAACCCGGAAGCAACTGTAAGAGGAAACGGGGGAGGGCAAGGAAACGGGGGGGCCATGTAATGATGGTTATCCCGGTTGCCCTAGGGGGAGGTCTTGGTCGGAGGCCTCGTTGAAGACCGCCGCAGCGACGGTTCAATCCTGCTGCAGCGACGGCCCCCCCCGTGCTAACTGGAATGGGTGCAGGCAGGTCAACCGCCGACAAGCGGGATGTATGTAAAGAAGAGATAGACGTGTATTTCTCGCAGGCGCATGGGGCTGCGCATGTCTGTACACGAAGGCATCAAGGTGTTCGGTAGGAGGTCTTGGGGGTTCTCGGGGGCTTGGCTTCCACAAATCATGAGCCGTGCGCGTCCAACCTTGGACCGCTTGCCAGCCAGGCTGCTGTGCATCTACAAATCCTGTTTGGGGAACCCTGTCTCGGAGCCCAGAATTGCGAGGATGTCCCAGGTCGCACCTGGTTGACGAGTAAGCTGTCGGGTCGGCACTGTGGGAGGCTCCACCGCCATGCTGTGAACTCAGAAGCAACTTTAAGAGGAAGCGGGGGAGGGCGCGGAAGCGGGGGGGCATGTCGTGATGGTTCCCCCGGGGATGATATCGAGAGATACGCGGCGCACGTCTCAAAAGAAAAATCGTGACGTCGGATGTCTGGGGAGGGCGGAAGGCAGTGCGCGCATGACGGATGCTGAGGCGGCAGAAACGACGACGGCGGGGACGGGGAGGCGGAGGCAGAGGCGCAGCAGCGGGAGGCGGGAGGCGGGAGGAGGGAGGAGGGAAGAGGAGCCAGGCGGGAAGTGGGAAGAGGGAGGCGGGAGAAGGAATGAGAGAGGTTGTGATTGGAGCCCCTGTGCTACGAAACGTCTCAGGCAGAACGGGCCAGACCATCTCGCGCGCAACATCTTCGAGCCTCGCATTGCGAGGATGGCTCAATCGAAACGGGCCGGACCACCTCGCGAGCGACATCTTGGAGCTCAGTATTGGAAGGATGTCTCAAACGAAACGGGCCGGACAATCTTTCGCACACGTTTTGACAAGTCCACATCGCACTCGCTTCCCGTTAGGTCCTCTCCTGCAACTCCCTTCCTTCTCCCTCCTCCTCCTCCTCCTCCTCCTCCTCCTCCTCCTCCTCCTCCTCCTCCTCCTCCCCCTCCTCCTGCCTGCTCCCTCATGCACATCATATGCCTGCTCCTTCTCCCTTGCATCTCCTTCTCCTTCTCCTTCTCCTTCTCCTTCTCCTCCTCCTCCTCCTCCTCCTCCTCTTCCTCCTCCTCCACCTCTTCATCCCGAACGGCATCTCGGAGCCCAGAGTTGCGAGGATGTCTCAAGCGTAACGGGCTGGACCACCTCGCGCGCGGCTTCTCGGACCCCAGAGTTGCGACGATGTCTCGGGCGAAACGTGCTGCGAGGAAGTCTCAGGCGAAACGGGCCGGACCACCTCGAGCGCGGCGGCTCAGAGCTCCAAGTTGCGGGGGCCTTCTGGTGCCTCCTGGTGCCTCCTGGGGACCTCCTGGGGCTTCCTCCTGGGCCTCCTGTGGCCTCCTGAACTCCACCTGGGGTTTCCTGAAGCCTCTTGGGGCTCCCAGGGGGGATATCTAACCTGTGGCCGCTTGGGCCCCTCAAAATGGAGGGGGGGGCACAAGAGCAGGAAAAATCAACGAATCGGCACCGGATGTGTATTAACTTGACACGTTCTGATAGTGGGCCTCCTGGGGCCTCCTGGGAGCCTCCTGGGAATCTCCTGGGGACCCCTGGGGCCTGTCCTGGGCGTCCTGCGGCCTCCTGGAGCTCTCTGAGGCCTCCTGGGGCTCCCAGGGAGGATATGTAACATGTGGTCTTCTGGGCCCCCAAGCTGGACCACCTCTTGCGCGGCATCTGGGAGCTCAGAGTTGCGAGAATGTCTTGTGCGAAACAGGCCAGACAACCTTGCGCACGGCATCTCAGAACTCAGAGTTGCGAGGATGTCTCAGGCGAGACGGGCCGGACCACCTCGCGCAGGGCATCTCAGAGCTCAGAAGTTCGAGGATGTCTCAGGCGGGCTCCCAGGGTCCCAGGGAGGATATGTAACATGTGGCCTTCTGGGCCCCCAGGCTGGACCACCTCTTGCGCGGCATCTGGAAGCTCAGAGTTTCGAGAATGACTTGTGCGAAACAGGCCGGACCACCTTGCGCACGGCATCTCAGAGCTCAGAATTGCGAGGATGTCTCAGGCGAGACGGGCCGGACCACCTCACGCAGGGCATCTCAGAGCTCAGAAGTTCGAGGATGTCTCAGGCGAGACGGGCTGGACCACCTCTCGCGCGGCATCTCCGAAGTGAGAGTTTCGAGGATGTCTCAGGCGAAACGGGCCAGACCACCTCGCGCAAGGGATCTCAGAGCTCAGAGTTTCGAGGGATGTCTCAAGCGAAACGGCCCGGACCACCTCTCACACGGCACCTCGGGGCTCAGAGTTTCGAGGTTGTCTCAAGCGAAACGGCCCGGACCACCTCTCGCGCGGCGTCCTGGAGCGCAACTTTTCGAGGATGTCTCAGGCGAAACGGCCAATCCCGGCCAACTCAGAAACGAGAGTTGTGAGGATGTTTCAAGCGAGACGGCCCGGACCATCGACATTTTGTAAGGATGTTTCTGCTTCCCCTTCCCTCGGCCGGAGTTAGTTTCTATCACGACAGCACCCCGTTCAGCAAGCTGTTTGGGGAATTAACACTGTTAAGCCCTACGGTGGCCAATCGGACGCGCCTCGGGCCGACGGGCCGGAGAGTTCGAAAAAGGCCTGGGCGAAAACGGAGTTAAAATTGTTAAGCCCTACGGTGGCCTTTTGGAAGCGCCTCGACCAGTCGGAGAGGCCGAGAAAGAGAAAAATAACGAGAAGGACAGAAAAAGGGAAGGAGGCGGAGGCGAAGGACAGACGAACTAAAGACAGAGACTCCGCCGAGCAAACGAAAAACGGCAGTGGCCCCGGACCCGCTGGAGAGAGGCCCATTGGCGTAGCTATAATGGTCTCCGGCGGCGAGGCTGTTGCACGCGCCGGCCCGCGTGCGCTTGCTCCACGGCAGCCGCGGCAGAGTGGCCGCGGACCAGTTCCGAAGCAAGCTGCCCGAGCGTCGCTGCGGTGGGCGTTCCTGGCCCCGCTGCGTGTCTCGCCCGGCAGCGCGCTAGGTACACTGCCGCGGTGCGAATGGCCGAGCGCAGGGTGAAGTCTGCAGGCACGCTCGCCGGGGAGGAGGAAATGAAAAGGAAATCCGAGAGAGGCGCCAGGGCACGAGGGATAGCGAGGCTCCGCCACGCGAGCTCCTGAACCACTGAGCAACCTGCGTAGTGTTCGATGGAGTCGTCGCAAGCGCAGCCAAAGATGCAACGGGAACCGCGCTGCTGGAAGCGCCGGCCCGTGCACCATCCGTTGAACCACGTGCGCAAAAGAGCGGCTCTGACCCGCGGCAGAAAAGTCAAGCGCCACCGCTGAAGCCGGCGCCGCCAGAAGCGTTCCGCCTCCACCGCCGACGTCCCCTGCACAATTGAAAGACAAGTCTTCTGCCACAACCTACGTCGTTTCCTGCCGCGGGCGTCGTCGTCGAGCTCAGCGTCGGCGACTCCGTCAATGCGCTCCCGCACCCGGACGCAATCCAGCCCAGGCCCTCGAAGTGCGAAACGGCAGCGTCCAAGTGCAGGATTGCAGCGTCCTGGAACCAGCCATCCCAGCCCGCCCGTCGGAGTTCGAAATCGCGATTTGCGATGGCCCTGCGTAGCTCCCGAGCCCAGCGCGCCGTCTGCAGGCCGCCTTCATTCGTGGCTTCGTACCGGGCTACGCGGAAACGGGCCGCAAGCGAGAGTATCGCAAGGTCTGGAATGCTGCCGGAGAAACCCATCGAGCTCGGGTGGGTCCCGCAGTATGGACGGGGACATCCACCCCCGCGGGCCTGGGAAGAAACGGGCCACCGCCTCGCGCTCGACCGCGGCCCACTCCGCCGGCGCGGGAAGGAGCTGCGCCGCGAACCCGAGCGCGGATACGAGGTAGATCCTGGCCGCGAGCAGCGTGAGCTGGAAGCCGCAGCCGACCTTCCCCCACATGGCCGCCCTCTCAAGGAATTTCTCCATCGGCTTGCGCCACGAAGTGCCCTCGCTGCGCGGGCCGAGGGTGAAGCCGAGGTACTCCGCAGCGTACGCAATCTTCATGGCGCCCCACCTGGGGGCGCAGGCAGCGATCGAATCCCGAAGCATGACCAGGTCGACTGTGCGCAAGGGGACAACGACTGACTTGCCCGCGTTGAGCGCCAGGCGGGAGATCAATTCGCATTCGCGGGAAAGCTCCTCCAGCAGCGGGAGATGCAGGTGCAGGTGGGGCGTGACGAGGGCGAGATTGTCGGCGTAAGCCCGCGGCGTGGTGGCGGGGAGGAGCCGGCGGAGCCAGCGAAGTAAGAGGTCCGCGGCGATGGCGAAAAGCAGCGGCGACAGCGGGCAGCTTTGCCGCACGCCAGCCGAGAGCGCGAATCCCTCGAACCTGTGCCCCCCCACGACGATCTGGCAGACATTGTCGTGGTACAATGCCGCGATGAACCTGCCGAGGCACGGCGGGATGCCGATCCACTCCAGCAGCTCCAGCATGAAGGACTGGGGTCGATCGACGGATAGGCCGCCCGAAAATCGAAGAAAATACAAGCACCATCCTCCTGAGCCACTGCGGTGAGCCGCATCTCAGTGTCGATGTCGATGATGTTGGCCAGAAGTGAGCGCCCGCCGACAAATGCCCGTTGGATCTTAGAGACCCAGTGCTGGAAGATTGTCTCCATGCGGAAGCGGGCAGCATTAGCCAAGATGCGATTGTCGAAGCTGACCACGTTAGATGGCCCCAACTGGCCGAATTGAATGGCACTCCTGCGTAGCCCCATGATTCCCCAATAACGCTCCAAATATGGCCCCGGATTGGCTCCTGAGCGAGACCCCGGGAAGCCAAATCATCAAGAACTATGGGTTGGGAATGATTTCGTCCTTCACGACTGTTCGGCGTCCGCTGGGTTTCGGACGCCGCAGGATAGCCATATGATGGCCCAAGCGAGCCACAATGAAGAACCCTAAAAGCCCCAAGAGTGCCTCAGGAGCACCCCAAGAGAGCCCAACGAGATTTTAAAGAGGCAATTTCGGATTGCAGAGGGGACGCCAGTTCAGGCCGCCCCGTCAGAACCCCAAAGAGGCTCCAAGTGAGCCCTAAGGGGGCCTCAAAGGCCCCTCAGAAACTTCTCAAGAGGGACCTCAGAGGCCACCAAGGACTCGGCGGCGAGCAAGGGGGGGAAGTGAGAAGGAGGAGGCCTTATCAAAGCCCTCTGGCCTTCTGAGAATTGGTCTGTGTCTTCGGGAAAGGCTTAGGAAGCTTCTCAGAAGGACGAGGAGTAGGAGGAGAAGAAGGCAGAGGAGCAGGAGGAGGAGGAGGAGGAGGAGGAGGAGGAGAAGGAGGCAGAGGAGGATGTCTTGGGAGGATGTAGAGGAGAAGGTGGAGGTTGCCAATATGGGAGCGGGAGGGGCCGGATGCCCCCCCCTCCCGCTCCCATGCTGGCAAGATCGAGCACTTGACACGCCAGAAGCTGCATGCAGATGTTTTTCCACAAATGTAACAGGGTATGGGGAAGTATCGACAACGCCGACCCTAGAGGCCCCCAAGCGAGGGAACGCGGACTGATCTCTCAAGCACTTCTGTATACAGAGACCCCCGATGAACCGCAGAGAGCGGTCGGCTATAATATACACCACCACCACCACCACATGCATTCCCCCTCCTTCTTCCTCTCCCCTGAAGAAACGAAAAATGCCATAAACACAAAACTCGGAGGTCCGCGCAGATTTCTCGGATCCGCGATGGACCCCCCTCCCTGGCGCGCGGAGCGCGCCAGGGGCGGCGCCGGAGGCGCCGCCAGGGGGGGCCCCAGCGCCGGTCCGAGAAGTCCGCGCGGACCTCCGAGTTGTGAATGCTTATGTCATGACTCGTTCCCCCGTCCTCTCTCCTGGGAAGGGGGGACTGGCCATCGCTCGGACGTCCATTCCCTATGCTTCTTCCGGTTTCGTGCGTGGTTGTTTCGCCAGACGATCAACGATGCTCCTCCATGGTACACGTCCGAGCGATACCGAGGGGAGGGGCTGCGGGAGGCGGGCCCCGTGGCGAGGGCCTGCGCGTGGGAGCGGGGGCGGAGGGGGCGCCGGGCGGCTCGGCGGGTGCGCCGGGCGGCACCTCCGCGCGGCGGGGCGCGGCCCGGACTTTCCAGGGCCACCTCTCGGAGGCCTGCAGAGGTGGACACCAACACCAAAATCGGCGCTGTGCCTCCACCGAGGTAAGAGGATCACGACCTCGGTGATTTTTGTTATCTCTGCGCTCAGGCCAACCCGCTCCGATCCCACACTGCTCAGGTTTAGCAATGTCACTCAGGGCCTCTCAAGGCCCAGGCCGTGATCGCGCCCGACCTTTCGAGCCTCCTCCTCCGCTCCTCCTCCTCTTCCTCCTCCTCCTCCTCCTCCTCCTCCTCGTCGTCCTCCTCCTCCTCGTCCTCATCCTCGTCCTCCTCCTCGTCCTCCTCCTCCTCCTCTTCATCCTCATCATCCTCATCATCCTCCTCCTCCTCGTCCTACTCCTCCTCCTCCTCCTCCTCCTCGTCCTCGTCCTCGTCCTCGTCCTCGTCCTCGTTCCTCCTCCTCCTCCTCCTCCTCCTCCTCCTCCTCCTCCTCCTCCTCCTCCTCCTCTCATCATCATCATCATCATCATCATCATCATCATCATCATCATCATCATCATATCACCACCACCATCATCATCATCATCATCATCAACATCATCATCATCATCATCATCAGCATCAGCATCAGCATCATCATCATCATCATCAGCATCATCATCATCATCATCATCATCATCATCATCATCAGCATCATCAGCATCAGCATCAGCATCAGCATCAGCATCATCAGCATCACAGCATCACATCAGCATCACCATCATCAGCATCAGCATCGGCATCATCATCATCATCATCATCATCATCAGCATCATCATCATCATCATCACCACCACCACCACCACCACCTCATCATCAGCATCAGCATCATCACCATCACCATCACCATCACATCACCATCATCACCATCATCACCATCATCAATCATCACCATCATCACCATCATCACCATCATCACCATCATCATCATCATCATCATCATCATCATCATCATCATCATCATCATCATCATCATCATCATCATCATCATCCCGGTCTCGGTGGTGGTGGTGGAGGCCACCATCCTGTGTAGGTATAGGTGCCTATTTGCAAACCTCCAATCGACGCTAAACAGACGCTAGCCGACGCAAATCGACGCTAATCGATGCTAGTCGACGCTGAATCGGCGCTTCCTCATCGACTACCAGATGCTAGCGCGCCCTAACGCACTCTAGAAATGGAATTGCGAGGACATACGAGGCTCCCATGAGTCGCTACCGAAGCACGTTCTCCTCCTGCACTTGCTCCGCCTGCTGCGCCTGCTCAGAGGCGGGGCCCCCGCCAGAGTGGGCAGTCTCAGAGTTCGAGTAGTGGACCGACTACAGAATTGATTCAATTGATGTATCCCAAGAATTGGTGTTCGTCGAACCCATGAAAAAAAGCCACATGTTTCTTGTATTCGACGAGGAAATCAAGTTTGGGGTAAATCACTTCTGTAGGCGCTCCTAGAGGTGGAGGAGGAGACTCTTTCAGGGACATGTGAGGAGAGGAGTTGAGGCGGGCGGGTGTGTTGCAGCATCGCTAACTTATCTTACCCTGGGTTTAATCTGGTCCTCACCCTCCTCATCCCAGTCTGGGCCAGTTCGATCCATTCCAGTCCAGTTCACTCTCCTCCTCCTCCTCCGCCTCCTCGACCCCTCCCCTCGATGATCCGAAGGCCAGGGTTCACACGAACGTGCGTTCGTTAGCGGAGGCCCTTTGGTTCGGAGCGCGGCGCACTGAAGGACTCCAAGGGCTCCAGGGTCATCTGCGGGAGTGAACGAGGCAAACCAGACTTGGTCTATCCTACGTTCCATGGGCCATCGAGCTTTGGGAGAACTGGCCACCACCCAGGAGCCCTTTCTGCACATCGGCTCCGACCCTGCCCGCTCCCACTCGAT